AAAAAAAAAAAAAAAAAAAGGAGAAATTAGAGTAGCAGATTCTAACATTTTCAATATTTGCAAATTTTACTCTTAACAATCAATTTATACTAACAAATGTTTCTAACCTTTCACAAATATGCAACAGAGGTCCAAATGAATGGTAATCATCCATTTTGTGACCTGAAAAATGTAAAAATTGAATATTTTCATCATTTTAAGTAAATGCATTTTAGCCAATCCCATATAAATTAAATTAAAAAAACCAACAAAAAAAAAGAAAAAAGAAAAATCATCTTCTCCCCCTCCTTCGCCCTCCACTTTCCCACACTACCCCTATCCTCACACATCCCCCAAAGCGAAACTAGAAAATAAAATGCCCACAACCATCGTAACAGAATTTCTCGACGATCTTGAAGGATTCAGAACCCTCGAAAAGTTCTAGTGGAATTGGAACACAACGCCCAATTATGGTTGCCTTATCCATGCCAAACATATTCTCTTTCTTCACACCCTCAAAACCACTATCTACTCCACCTAAATCTCTGTTGTTCTACCTTTCACTCTCCTCTTTCGCTGCCACCGCCAATGAAAGCGAATGCAAGCCCAAATAGTCTACTTTCCCATTCCGGAGTACAAGCGTCGTCACTTCTTCGAGAACAAGCAGGACGAGAAGAATACAAAATCTCACGAGGCTGCCAATTTTCAGTTCGATTTTGTCTTTTTTTAAATTTTTTTTACATGATCAGCCGCTCATTTTCATCGAAGAAGAAATCCGTGATCCCTAATTTGAATACAGATTGTAGTGTATGGAACATAGCTTGTTCTGAGGAGATTTTGGAATTTGCAAATAACCTAGAAGCGAAGGTCTTGACGGTTGATGAAGAACAATCATCGGGCAACTATTGTAAGGCCCCGAAATTTATATTTTTAAGTTGGTTGATATAGCTAGGGTTGTAAATAGATCGAATATGGATCGGATCTGCTTATATCCGATCCGATCTGATAAGAAAATTTATCCGATCCGATAATCCAACGGATATTTAATTGCTAAATCCATATCCGATTTGCAATGTTATCGGATATCCGATCCGAAATTAATAAAAATTAGGGAAAAAATTTTGAACTAACTTCAGGCCCAACTATTTTTCCTAGCAAGCTCAATAGTGACTTCTACTATCATGATATTCATTTTTAAAGGAGAGACCATCTTCTAGTTTTATATTGATATTCGATGTGGAATAAGTTAAAATTGAATTTCAATTCTAAATATAAATATTTTATTTCATTATTTTCATTAACAAATCAAATTATTTGTTACATATTAATTATTATTTTTGAAATTGTAAAATTAATTACAATAATAAATTTAATTAAGAAAAATATAGATATTTATTTACTTTAAATTAGTAAACTAAAATTAGAAAAACATTGGTTGACATCAACTTTTTTTTTTTTTTTATTTTCCAATTCTTAAACAAGTTTACTAATTATAAAGCTTTTAAACTTTTTTATGTTTTGAATTTGATTATTTTTTATTCTAAATTTATTTATTTTCCCATTTATTTATTTTAGTGACAAATAATATGCCATAAAAATATTTTATCGACTCGATTATTTATAACAAATCGAATCGGATTAACTTATATCAATATTTGATCCATTTAGTCAACGGATTATCGGATTCGGATCTTGATCGGGTTATCGAACCGAGACATTAAATCCATCTCCCATTAATTTCGTCGGATTCGGATCAAAATCCAATCCATTAACAGCCCTAGATATAGCCGATTGAAGAAACAAGTTATGAAGGCTCGGCCCATTCAAGGTTATGAAAGCCCAAATCATAAGTTATATAAAAATCCAAAAATTTAAGACATTAAGTTTAAGTAAATTTAATTACAAAGATTTAATAAATAACTAGATCGCCACAATAGTCATCTGTAACAATTATATCAGGTTAATTGGATTGAATAATTATTTTATTAGTGACATTCATAGAGATATGTTAAACATCATATGCATAGTTCATTTTCCTCTATTTTTCATTATGTAAATGTTTTATAAAACTTTTAATAGAATTATTTCTTTTATAAGCTTAAAACTCCTTAAAGACTCAATTTAACAAGATTAGTGATAATATAATTCTCTCATTTAGTTTTTCACTAAAAATGGAGGTTACAAGAGAAGGAAATTCACTTTTTCATTACACCTCTCCTCAAATCCAAATTTGTTTTATTTTCTTTTAAAAATATCTTTTATGTTAAGTTAAATTTAAAGAAATAGTAAGGATGTGAAGGAGAAAGGCTTTTACACATTTTGTTCATTTATATTTCAAGAAAATTTGTTTATACACACACACGCACACTTGTGATGTGTGTTAGAAATTTTGAAGCTCATACGAAGAAGTTTATGTATAGCCATAAACAGTTTCTACAACTCCAAGGGATTCTTCAAAATCATGAATTTGCCAGTATTCATCTACGTGAAATGTTAAATTCTTTCCTATCATTTTGTATATATGTTTATGACCAAAAAGGTGAACCATGTGATGTTAATCCTACTAACCTTAAAGCTCACACCTTCTACGTTGACAAATTTTTCAGATTAAATGATGGTCGAGGAAGTAGGATTTACGTGGATTGCGGAGGATCTGAATGTTGAAAGGTGCTTCATTTGTGTAATTAGTCATGTTTGAAGAGTTTCTAGTTCTTACTAGTTATGCAACTTACGTTTAATTTCTAAAATATATTAGTTTATCCTTTTTTAAGATTTCCTAGTTCTTTCTCTTGATGTGAACATTTAAATTGTTATTTGGTTTAAATATGCATATAAATAAAGTTTTTTAAAAAGTTAAGATTAAACGTTAGACTTGTAAACAAAAATTTTCAGCTTACTGTCCGAACTTTGTTGCATCATCATAGATAGAATTCTTTGAATTTTTGGACAAATTTAGTAGGTTTAAAAGCCTGTGAGTCCTTTGTCCGATGGCTTTAGAATCAAGTCAATCGAATGTCGATAGAATAAGTTATGCCCTTTTCCGTGTGATGTGTTCAGTGTACCCAAGAACAATTTTTCTTTCACATGTTTGAGTGTCTATTGGAATGCCTACACGATCTTAGAAAATTCTGAAATTTTACTATGTTGTACTTGAGTGAGTTAAGAAGATATTGTAAAAATTTCATAAAATTATAAATCCGATAAATGGTCCAACTAAGCTTGATCATTAGGTAGCGCGTTGTTGAACTAACTTCGTCGATGCACGCTCACATTCATTTTAACCCTTCATTTTAGTTACATTATTTAACAAATCAAAGTTATCCACCTTAAATCATTTGTTTCCAATAAATTTTAGAGCATGTAATAAAACGCAAGGGTAACAACAAAGTTAAAAAGAAAATTTTATTTTAACCCCAATTTTTGAAAGAAAAAAAACGTTATTGTTTTTGTACTAATTTCAAATTCCAAGTTTATTTCATTGCGACGATAATGTATGAAACCATCTTTACAAACAACTCTAACGTATGAATATCTGTATGTGGGTACTTATATGGGTGATAATTATCAGAGTGTCTTGTGAGATGAAGGAGATGACGAGAAAAATGGTGGTGATTCGTTTTGGGGATGGGA